CATCATTTTGTCTCCGCTCTAGTATTCCAATTATTGTTCTATACTTCTTTCGATTTACAAAAATATTTTGTCGTTTTTAAGTTCTTTAAGTTGTGTTTCAAAAAAAAATATCAATTACATTTTCAATGTTTTTAAACCAAGTTCGTATTCACCATTTATTCAAAATTACTTATCTTTAGTTTTAAATCATTATATGCAAGTCACATGCGGAGCCAACCCTGAATTTGGTAAGGCAACAAGCTAAAAAAGAAAATTGTGATTTCGGTAAGACTATGCGATTTTTGAAAATAGATAATCATGATTTGTGATTTTTTATAAACAAGAAAATTTTCAGTATAAAATACATATAAATAAATCTTATGTATCATAACTATTTAGATATCAATAAAAACCTTCTTTAGTTAAACATATTTGCTGAATTTTTTTTTTTAATATATTCTATTGACTGATCCGAAAAATCGAGGTAAAAATGCACTAGAGCGCTGAAAATTATCATCCCTACAAAATTCAGTAAATTATGTTTATAGTCGAAATGTAATGCCAATATTAAGGTTTATTGTACAAACGCAAAACATTTATTAAACATGGTACAACTTGAGGATTTCTATCCATCACATCTGTGGCCAAGAAAATATTTAACGTCAATTTCATTTAATTGGTTTTGCAATTTTCTTTTCCTATATCTATGACGAACTTGTACTGTTGTGACTTGTGAGTGAATAATGCATAGGTTTTATTTTTGACCTTTTTCCTTTTTAATTCAATTATAAATACAAAAAGTTGGTCTTGTGTCTTTACGATTTGAATATTAACTTTATGTTGGCGACAAAGGAAAAAAAAAAGCTTTATGTTCACAGACTCACAAAAGAAAGGCCTATATACATATGAAAATGAAAATAAACATCAACAAAAATAAATAATCACACTATTGGCTGTCTTATTCTTGTCGTATATATGTGAACCTACACACTTGTTCAAAATCATTGGCTGTTTCTTATCAAATTGTTTAATTCAAAATAAATATAAGAGAAAAAAATTATCTCATCACTAACGATGGGCTATTATTTTTCGTACATGACAATGATACAATTATTAGGTATGACTATCTATAAATATATAGATTTTTGGACAGATCTATAAATGTGTATTGGTGCGTAATTATAATCGTTTCGTATCTTTCATCCTATTCATAATTTTTTTTTGGAATGAATATTCATAAATATTGAACATAAATGAAAACACTATTAAACCAAGGACTTTATGTTACTCTATTCTATTTTGAAATTTTTGTCTCCATTAATAAATTGGTTTCATTTGCTCATATAGACGTAATAGACATTTTGTTGGTGAACAATGTAAAGCGTGCTCTATTTTTTTGTTTGTTTGTACGTTGAGGCAAGATAACTAAACTAAAAACTCTATCCATACGTTATTAGCGAAGTCCACTAAAATTGCAATTGAATTTAAAGTCCAACTATATTTTCTTAATTGTTTTGTCCAGCCACATTGTTCTAACCCTAATTTTCTTTTAGTTTCGAAGTTTAGCCCACTTAGTAATTGCTGGCCCGTTTCATAAGATTAATAATTGGAACAAATCAGTCTCGGTCCATCGCTTCTCCAAATCAAATGTGTTGAATTATCGAAAGCGTGTTAAATGTTATCCATTAAATCACTAATAAACTAGAAAGCATGGAATCGCGGGTGGTGATGCGTTTCTCGCTCTGAAAACGGAACCGGAAGTGGAAACACTCAGAATTGTTACAAAATCGTGTATCAAAGAAAGAGGTGTTTAAAAGGGCAGTGAAATCGCATAATTCGGAGTTGGAACCGGAAGTGTTGACGGTAGCCGTAAGTTTCTAATCTTCTTCTTGTGAACTAGAAGATTAAGCAAAGGTAACTTCAATTTTTTTCTTTTCTTTTTCTGAATAGGAATCTAA